TATAACAACGGAGAGAAAATATTAATATCATTATACTAAACAGATAAATGAATAATTGACGACACGGGACGGGCCAATCAAGATGAACGAAATTACACATTTCATGTGGAATTCATTCACTCAAGCTTCTTCCCGGATTACCTAATATTAACGGGATGCTGCACAGGTCGCTCCCAGTCCGTGTACTCGTTTATTATGGTAGCCAGGATCTCGGGCTGGTGATACGTGTACGTGTTCCGCACGAACTCGCGCAGGATCTTCGTCCTTCTGTCGGCCTCGATTCCGTACTGAGCATCGTCCGCGGTTAGCGAAAAATACGCCTCCGAGCGAACGACGCCCACCATCAGGTCGTACCTGCGAATTCAGGAATGCTTTTTCTCACTCGTCGTGCGATAAAAATGAGTTCCGCGAGATATTAACAACTCTGCGATTTATAAAGTATTTTAGGGCGTAATAAGCTCCGTCTGGAAATAGAAAAACTTTCGTCGCGAAATACAAAAAGTTTTCTTCCCTTAGAGCGCCCCAAGGTTCTTAAATCTCGCGCTCCTCGGGGAATTTGCGCTCTTGCTTATGCCGGACTCTTATATTATTCGTTATGGAATATTTAGCCGGGTTAGTGAAAATTTGAAGAAAACGGAGGGAATGTAGAGAATTTAACGCACACCAAGAAAGATAGATAGGTAGAGAAAGAGAAAAAGAGAGAGAGAAGAGAGAGAGAGAGAGAGAGAGAGAGAGAGAGAGAGAGAGGAAAACAAAGTGCGTAGCATACGCGCGGCAACCATCACTCTTTATTTCCCGGACCACGGAAGACAGATCGTAAAATGAAATACAAATTTAACGACAGAGCGACTAAACATTCTATCGCGAGCATAGCAGTGCCTCATAAAAGCCGTTTACATCTCCTTCAGACCAGGAAATAAAAAGGAATGACCGGCCATGTCTCGGGCATTCCACGCGGAAAGAGCTCCGGTATTTTTATTTTATTTTTTTCATTTTAATATATGTTCGTGACTTTTAAATCGTAAGATCTCCGTCATCGAAGACTCTGAGTCCTAAAATGTGCGGCTTCCTGCGTTACGTATTATTTGCTCGAACGTGCGTTACCATATTTTATAATAAAGAATGAAGAGAAGAATTCTCTCTCTCTCTCTCTCTCTCTCTCTCTTTCTCTCTCTCGCTGTTCTCCGCGGACACGAGACACACTTTTATGTTTCTGCAGCGACGATCCTGCAGCAGGACATCGCTGCTGTTTTCCGCGCTATTTATTTCCACTATTATTTTCCTTCGCCATTATTTCCTCTTATCTCGAGACTCGATCTCGCGAGTTATAACGATCGACGAACGGCCGAAAGAAACAACCGCAGTTGTATACCTCGACAGTTTCGCCACGACATCTTTCCTCAGCAGGATGTTGTTGAGTGTATTGATCGTGTCGACCTGCAGGGTGTAGTCCTGATCCTCGGGATCGCCGGGATCAATCACGACGCCGTCTATACTAGGACCAAAAGCCGGCGCGAATTCCAATCCTTTAACAGGTACGGACACCAATTCGCTCAAGGACACGTCCCTGAGGCACCTGAGCAGAGCTTGAGGATCTCCCTCCGTCTGTGACAGGATAGAGAGAGTTAGATGGAACATTGAAACAGTTTGAATCTTGATAAATTCACGATGTTACTTATTTTCGGAACGTATGGGATATTCTCGAAAGCAAGCAAAAAATTATCTGCCATTTTCCGATTTTTTTTTATATAGAAAAGCGTATCATTTTTTATTTGTCACGTCGTGACGTTGTAAAACACGTGTGAATAAATGTACGTGTTGTTCTCTTTAGGGTCAATGGGTTTAACCATTTTACTGGGAGGACTCGTCTGCGCGTGAATATACGAGTGTGTTTGTTTGTCTGTGAAGTGATTTATAAAAATTTACTCACTGGTTCGAATAAAGAATTGTTCTGCTTTAATTGTACGAAATTGTGGGACTGGCAGACAAAGCTGAATTTGAGATCATTCAGGTATGAATCTTTATGAAAACAACTTCTCAAATGGATGTATCAATGAAAGAACGCTCAGATTTTCTTTAACAGTGAAATTTATTGGTTATACAAAAAGATACTCACGCGGTTATCGGTCTTAAATTATGTGGGTGTCCAATTTATAACTTTATAATAAAAACTAATATATTTTTTGCCAGAATCGAGAATCGCAAGTGTGAGATTTAATGATTGTCGCGGAGAAATCGCAGCGATCACAAAAAAGTCGTTAAAATTATCACTCGGGTATTGTTAAGGATGCTCATAGAATTGCCGCTAAATGTATGTACTCTGAAGTGCGTCTGTCTCTTAACTGTCGCTTAATTGTGCACTGCTTTTTATAAAATGGCGGTGAGACACCGCTGCGCGAGCTCTCGCCACTCAAAAGAAGAATATATAGAAGGGGAAATATGTGTTTCTCAGGACGCAAGAGAAATAATCAATAGTCCGAGTTATTTGCAGTGTCGCATCTCATTGCGCTGCACACGCGATGCTAATGTCCTTTGGGAGGAGGGGAGGGAATTAAATATTATAAGATAACATATAATGTTAATATAAGGGTGTAGAAAGTGTTGAACTAATGAGTAGATAAACGCGACGATGCTTCTCCGGGCGTTTCTTTCGCCGGCTGAAAATCAGGTGACCTCGGTGACAATAACAAATAGATGTAACCTGAAGGCCTAAGAGGTCATAACAGTACGCGGCGCGAAGGTAAACGGATCGAGAGACGTCGCGCATAAGGGTCTCGATTCTTTTTCCGGTTCGATCGGAACGGACGCGTTGTATTACGTTCGTGATTACATTCTGTGCCATCGTCGTTTGAGCGGTAGCTCAGGTCATACAGAAGCAGAGATCTCGAATCTTGAGGGTAATTAGTATTATCCTTGATTTTCATTGATTTAAAGGAAGGATCTTTTCGAACTGCTGATTTAAGCGCGATACGTCGACGTCCGTCGCAATATAGCTGATCAGAAAACTAGCTTTCTGCTTCAGATCTCACTGGAATTGCGGTCACACGGTGGATGCGGTCTCCGGAAGGTGCAATTTTTATGGATGCGAACGCTGCGCCGCAGGATCCGGCTCGGGCCAAGCAGGATCGACTCGAAGGTAGTTTTTCCAAATTTCCCGTACTCTCTCGTATTTAACTGTTCGCGACCGGAAACTGGGACATATCGTCCGTGTAAAAATCGTGGAGTTAAAACGAGCGCAAAGGGTTAACGCGCACGTGTTGACGTGTATTTTTTCTTGTCAAGCTAGTGTCCGCTGTATCTAATCGACGATGTTATATTTTTTGTTGCAGAACTGTAGCGGAACGCTGCCGAGCCTGAGTTCCCAGTATTTTGGTGAGTCAAAAGAATATTTTAAGTGACGACGTTTATGGTGCATATAAAAAATCAATGCGATTTGCTTAACTCGTAAATTTTTGCATGCATATTGAGAGAAAGAGGAAATTGTTAATTTTTTGCTTCAAATTCTCATTCGGATCATCTTTCGCATCAATGATAAATTCTTTCGTTGTTTGAGAATAAAGTAGTAGCAAAGTGCCTACTACTATTTCCCCGATTATAATTATTTCATTTTATGAATGCCGATTACTTTTCTCTCGATTCTGTGTGAACATGTTTATCCATTGAAATGCATTGCTCAAAACAATCGGGGGATTGTTTCTTTAAATAACCGTCTTCTTTATTAGAGATAATTGAACTTGCTATGTTTCATTTATTCACGGTACAGAATTATTTGAGACGATTATTCGTACAATGTAACTCCCCGTTTCCTCCCCTGTTTCAAGCGGCATGAAAAGTGCAGTAGAATTGCGCCTGAGAATTGCGCCTCAGAATGGTGCGTTAAAATTGCATATTAAAATAACGCTGCTACACGCGAAATTCGCGATTACTCAGTTCGCGAACAAATTTAACAATCGTTGCAAAGTCACAAAGGATAAAAGCTCGAAAAATTATATATTTCAAAAGAATCGTATTATATACATTTCAGGATTTTCCGCGCGTAACAGATTATATCATTTCTTTCGAAACGCAAAACTCACAAGCTGCTGTCGTTGCTATTAAAATCCTCACGAAATGAGAAGCTCGTTTCGCGTGAACGCGACGCGTCCTTTAAGAAGCCACGGTTTGTTTACACGCGACTCCTGAGTGTGTTTCCGAGAAGTGTCGGAATAAGTCGTACTTTCCGTTAAACCTTTAAACCGTAAATTCGTTAAAGCGATCGCGGTCGCGAGTTCCGATACAGCAAGGTACAATCGACGTAGAACTGGACGCTACGGAGGTCAAAGATTGAAGACCGTAGTCGAAGGACTGGCGACTACGGAGGCTGAGGACTCGGAAGACTGAGGGACGACTGGGCGTCGTGGGACATCCGCGCGCAACGGTGAGTGCACAATCAGAACGCTGCACAAAGCGTCATGTTCCTACATAATGCATGCGACATTTGGAGCAAATCGCATCGATCCGGTGGAAAAAGTCACCGCGCGAAGAAATGCGCATTGCGCATTTCGACGGTGAAAAATTTGCGAAATTGCCCGCGACAAAGAGATTCGGAGAACAATAGCGCGCGCGTGCGCGCCTCTAGATGCATTGAAATTTCATTTAATTAAAGCGAGCTTTCGTTAGAGAGAAAACTAATCGGGAAATTGATTGAGATACCTCATGCGCTGCTGAACAATTGAATCCTTGATAAGATCAAATGGTACAGACACGACCGGCTGAAGTTCAGGAATTAGTAACGGAAGTATTATAATCCCTGACGGAGCGGTACTTTGCGCTATAGTCTTGGATAATTTTATCCGAACGGAGTGCAATCGGGATCATTCTCACCCTTTCATCCCCTTCATCCGTCTCCTCTCTCTCTCTCTCTCTCTCTCTCTCTCTCTCTCTCTCTCTCTCTCTCTCTCTCTCTCTCTCTCTCTCTCTCTCTCTTTCTCCATTTGGACAACGGTGCTCGTCCACGTGCGCGTGGTAATTTGCGCACGTGCTAGATTCGCCCATTTCGTCAGACCAGCCGACATTCGATTGCGGTTCCGTCTGCCAGCGCGAAGCTGGATTTCCAAAGGCGATTACCGCCGCTAAAGCAATTCATTTGCGTACGTCCGAATTAAAGCGAATCGCCACGTGAGCGAGCGAGCGAGCGTGCGCGCTCACGCTCTTCGGCCCTTCGTTCCTTGGCCCGTCCGTTTTAGGTCCGTCTGTCCAGTCCGCTTGTCGTCCGGATGCTGGATATTCCGCTGAGCGACGCGCGAAAATCTTGTTTACCTTGCCGGCGTCGCGTAGGTAGCCTCGTTAAGGCGCCGCCTCGTCCCGACGGTATATCCACGCCGGGAAATGCCGCCGGAAAATGTCGACCCTCGGCGATCCCGCATATCCACCCTCTCCCTCGCCGTTCTCGCCCGTCCCTCTCCATCCCCCTGGCGTAAAACGCGTTAACTCCGGAACGCCTTCCGCTATTTTCAGACGATTTGCCGCGTGAGTTATCCTGGGCGTTGAGCGTAATTTATCGTGCGCGCGGAGAAATGAAGGAAGGTGGAGCGCAGGGCGGGAGGGTTTGCGCTGGGGGGAACGGAAACAGCGGAGTTTTTCGTTCGAATTAAACGTGCGAATTCGACGCAGCTAGATGAGGTAGAAGCGCGCCGGTGAGAGAGCGGCTCGTCGTTTTGCGCCCGGAAGTGTGTCTTCGCGCTCGACGAAAGCGACGTTTCGTGCTCGCGAGGATCAAGCGGTGTCCATTGTTCCCCGGTGTTTTGCGCGTGAAGGTGTCGCGCGCGGGAACGAAAAAACGCGAAAGGGGAGAAAAGAGCGGGAATGGCGGCGGCGCGAAATGGAAATCGAGGTGGGATTATATAATATTATGCCGCGCTGCTCGCGCGCGTATCCGCGAATTTGGACCGAAAATCAATTCGACCCCTTGCCCCCGGCCTATCGCTGTCCCCTATATTTACTTCCCCCTTCGACGAACCTATCCATCCATCCATCGTCCTTCACACGTATCGCCGAAACAACCGGAGAGAGAAAGTTCGAATTGGAAAAACACCGATGAGACCCGGTTATCTTTCATCGGGTTATTTTTGGCGGGGTGAGAAACGCGCGCGCGCGCAGCAGGCGGTGGTAGATATATATCAGGGCCTTGACGACGATCGGAAATATCGTCACCGGAATTTACAGTGCCGCATATCAATATCAATGAAAAGACGTCACGGCGGCTCCGCGGTTATAAAGTAGGCCAAGTACGTAATTCGCTTCCAATAAAATAACTGTCAGCTGGGTGAAACATATTTTTCATAGCTCTTCGTAACGCAAAATGTATCTTTGCGACGGCGAGAGACAGGGAGAAGAAGCCACAGAGAGGTAGAGAGCGAGGGGAGGAGAAACACACAAAGGGAGAACGGAAGAACGAGAGGTGTGTGAGAGCGACGACGGTAACGCTCGCGATATTCCCTATTGAATTTCGAGATTGCTTTAATTTAATTTTATCCTGACGCTATTTCTCGATACGGTAAGAGATCGAGAGGAAGAGAGGGAGGGACAGAGATAGAGAGAAAAAGTAAAAGCGGAGAGACGGACGAAGGTTTATTCAGGCGGGTCGAAAAATTCCTCGCGTCGTTATCGTCGCGAACTTCATCGTTCGAAAATTAGGAACCTCCATCCTGCGGACCCGCACGTTCTGAGCGTTACTTCGAGCTCCGAGTTCATTCCCTCCGAATGTGCGTTTCTCTTCTCAGAGAGAGAGAGAGAGAGAGAGAGAGAGAGAGAGAGAGAAAGACGGCGACGCAGGTTTTTAGATAATGGGAAAGTGCGAGAGGCTCAACGACGCGGTCTCGTCCGATCGCGAGGCGATTTATCGCATCATTGCGGCTTCCTTCGACGGTGCGTCGAATCAAAAAGGAGCGCTCGCGATTTCTCCACGTCTCGTTTAATATCCAAAATGAGAATGTTTCTGTGAGATTAATATCTTTACCTGTGGACGAGCGGGCGCGCGCGCGCATGTGAATTCGAATTTATTTGGCGGCTGCAATTCGCAACCGAGAGGAGTCACCCTATTTTCCGTATGCGCGCACACGCATACACGCACGGGCGGGTATACTAAATTCATGCGTTGCCCAATTTGCAATTTGCGAAATTTAGTATCCCTCTTATTGAAAGTGCGCGCATACTCGCCTACTGGGGCCGATGTATGTCTCGGGTGTATATTAGCTTAATTGAAACGCGCCGTTAATATAATTGGTAGTGCGTAATTAACGCTGTAAAAACACCAACGTGCGCTGGTATTCGTACGTATTTGATATTTTAATTTATGCCCGCGCCTAGCCTTTCACGCGGTCGTTTCAACACCGACGATCGGCATTATCGTGAATTATACGAGCCGCGCTCGAAAACGAGCGAATAAGAATTAAAGCAGCAGCAGCAGAGAGGGAGAGACGGAGGGGTGGGGGAGAGGCCGCTGACGCGATGAAATATAACTGGAACGTGTCCGATCGGTCTACCCTGTAAACTGAAATGAACAGAACGTCCGAATTTAACGTCGGATTCAATACGTCCGCTGTCTCGTAAAGCTCGGACTCGTTCAGAGGGAGGTGAACGTGTGTGTGTGTGTGTGTGTGTGTGTGTGTGTGTGTGTGTATGTGTGCGCGCGCGCGAGTGTATGCGCCGCCTGAATTTCCAAAAATTTTTCATATCCGACCTTTTTGTCCAAAATTACGACGCATGTCGCGCGTGTATATACGTTTCCTTTGTATTTTTAATTCTATTTATTTACACTCAGCGCGTGTGCGTCAACGATTCAATTAATTTCGTCGGATTCGAATCGACGATACGTCCCGCTTTTTTTGTCAATAGTCTCATTAATTCCACGGTTTAATTCCGCTACTGACGAGAGAAAAGGAATTGCCGAGGCGAGGGCGGCGTGAGTCGTATCGGATTAAGCGCCATTCTTCCGCCCCCCTTTTCTTTGTTGCCGCTTTACCTCTCCCTAAAATTATTATCCCGTTATTTAATAATCGGAAATGCGAGATTATAAATCCCGCGATGAGAAACACTCGCAGGCGCGACGCGATGGAACGGCGAGCGGAAGCGCGGTAATGACATTATAAACTGACGCGACGGATAATTTCGGCGCGATCAGGCGGACATGTTTGCTAGTACTCACCGACGAACAATTTAGGTGTTTGGCGACCTGCATGGCGTAATTGGCGGCGCCTCTTACCAACGCCCAGGGTGAAAGCGCGCTGCCCGACATCAGGACACCTCGGTGAAACAGCAGACCTGCGAGAGAGAGAGCGACAGAGAGAAAGAGAATGAGTGAATGAGCGAATGAGTAAATGAGTGAGCGAGCGAGTGTGCCGCTGTTAATGCCGTATGCATAGCATATTTTCCATAAGCATAATTAATCGTCCTCCCTAATGATAATAATAATAAATGAGGCGCTGCGTTCGGCTGCATTAAAATATTGTTAATACACGCGTTATGCGCTCGTTAGCCATTAACTCGTTCGTTTCGACCGTCCCGGGGACTTTCTCACACGTTTCACCTTCGCACACGTTTCACCTTCACGCACGTTTCACCTTCGCGCACGTTCTCCTTCTCTCTCCCGACCCTTCTCCTCCCGGCTTTGTTTCTTTATTCTCTTTTTTTTTGTTTATTCTCTCACATTTCGTGGAAATATTGCGAAACTATATCGGTTACATTGCGCACGCTCGATGTTCAGGACGCTCGCAATCCTTGCGATTCCTCGCGTGCCTGCCGGGGTGTATCCAGGGCGCGCTCCGCGTCGTAAAAATCCGATATCCATGCGATGCGATTTCGACATCCGCGTGCGGAAAGTTCTCGCCGGTCGCACTTTTCGGGAGGAAGGGGAGGGTGCCCGCCTTATCCGCGGGATTCGCAAATCATATCACGTAATGCAAAAGTGTTTGTTCGCGGAGGGGAAAGATTATACGTCGCGACGGAGAATTGAATTTCGAGATGATTTCGGGGTCGATTCCTCTCATGCGCGCAGCGGTACCACGATATTACCTGAGCAAACGAAATACAATCCGAGTTTCAATGCATAGCAACGAATACTCATCTCGATCACTCGATAGATTTATTTCCAATCAACGACTTCCATTACAACGTTATCGGCGACTTCCGCCGCGAGGACGACGAGCTGGCAAGACGCGGGTCGTCGCAGTGCGTCGTTGCATGGAGACATCTTGAGGAAAAGAGAAAAAAGAAAGAAATCACACGTATGATTTGCCGGGCCTTTAGCGTTCTTCGGGAGAGAATTCGGTGATTCGAAAAAGTCTCGCGGGGAAAAATTCACGACGAACTCGAATTTCATGTCGGAATAAACTCCAGCGATACATTCTTAATTAACGTTTTCTCTCTTTCTCCTTTTACACGACTTACTTTTATCATTGCTAATTTCCAAGTACGCGACCTAAGTTAAACACAAAGTAGAGAGATGAGAAAGGAGAGAGAGAGAGAGAGAGAGAGAGAGAGAGAGAGAGAGAGAGAGAGAGAGAGAGAGAGAGAGAGAGAGAGAGAGAGAGAGAGAGAGAGAGAGAGAGAGAGAGAGAGAGAGAGAGAGAGAGAGAGAGAGAGAGAGAAAGAGAGAGAAGGGGAGGAGAGGGAGGGATACGAGTAATTGAACAAACGCGACTTGTCTTATTTTGCGGAACGGTCGAGGCGTTTTTCATCTGCCCTTAATTAACATCCCTCCTTCGGCCAGGGAAGAAGAACGCGACAGAGAAACGTGTTTAAAATGATAAAATGCGTTTAATATTGGTCGGAGGCTTCGATTGGCGCTCGTTAGCCATTAACTTCCTCGCTAGGCGTTGCAAAATGGGACATTACGCAAGAGATGAATAGGTAAAAGTGGAGCAGCGGGGCTCCTCGCAGCGCGCGGAAAATTAAGGCGACGCGGGCGAGCACGACGTTACCGGCTTCGTCGTCTATTATTTAATACAGAAGACAGGATAAGTCGCTTAATCCCAATCTTGCGAGTCGTTAATCTTGATACCTCGAAGATGAGATCCCTTCTATGAAGCCTGCCATCCGCTGTATTTCTCTGTGTATACGGTGTCAAGCCGAAAATGCTGAAAAAGCTCCCTCGTTCGCTCGTGCACGCGTGTCCGTACAACAAATACGGCAGACGCGATTAAACAATTGTGTCCCGCCAGTTTTCCATGCCTTCAGATTGTTATGCCATCTCGTTTCTCTTTCCTCGTCGCGATTACAGTAGCTTAGAGCTACTGTGCATTACTTTACGCACACACTTGTCTTATTACCGGAGTATTAGCGCCTGTCATTGCAAACTCGTGTGTGGGAGGATTCCTTAATGTCGTGAAATAAGTTGCCACGATGTTCGCCACATTAGGGAGGCGAATTCGAGTACTTGAGCATGTACGGGGCTACTTTTGGCAAAGTAAAAGCGACAGGCGATGTTTTCCCACACGTAATCCCAGTTTAGTCGATCGGCCACCCCGATATTTCATGATATATACGTACTGCCTTCGGCAGCGATCTTATCAGCCTGATACACGTCGATATCCGATTGGGTCTCATTCATTTAGTGAAGGAGATACCGGGGTAAACTCTGAATATCCTGCTAGCATCCTCGACGTATTTCCGACATTACTGAATCAAGATGAGCCCGTTCTTCCGTCATCGATATCCGTCGTCGTCGTCGTCGTCGTCGTCGTCGTCGTCGTCGTCGTCGTCGTCGTCGTCGTCGTCGTCGTCGTCGTCGTCGTCGTCGTCGTCGTCGTTGTCGCCGTCTGAGTCGCCGTCGTCGAGAGGACGACGCCAAACGATAAGATGATGTCGAAGCTCGCGACATTAAAGGACTATTAAAGGATTATCGCCGGCTCAAATTCCATCGCGTTACTCGGATTTAATGGCAGTCTTCCGTAATACCCGAGGATTAATTAATTCCTTCGGGGAAGTGGGAGCCAAGCGTCTGATGAGTTAAAGGCGTACGATCGGAAGAAACGACCAACCGAACATGAAGCGTGACTCAAAAGAACCGAGGATCCGAGAAAAGAACGCGTGACCGAGGAATTCCGGGCTTTCAGGCTCGGGGTGGCGAAATTGTGTGATCGAAAAATCAGTTTCTAAACGAGTCTTGAATCGCGGGTGGAGAAATCAGCGAATTCCGGATGAAAGGGCAAACGAGGACGTAAGATATTGAAAAGTATTCAAGCAACTCGCAGTATTCCACGATATTAAAGCCGGGTTGTATAATATTCAGAAATTAAGAAGAAACGTAAAATAAGGGAATCTCGAGAATCGCGGGAACTTAAAAATCCAGCCGGCGGGACTGAGAATTATTGAAGTCGGAGTGTCACCCTTTTCTTTTTTCTCAAGGAAGGAATCGTGAATTGCTCTCATACCAAGCTACGATATCGCCCTTTCCGCGCGCGCAATCTCTCCTCTGGTCTGATTCTCATTTAATTCTCTTCGCAAAAGTGCATTTAAATATTATCCCTCATTATTTATCGCTGGTGCCGCGCGCGCGCGCGCGCGCGCGTGGTCAGTTTTTGCACGGGCAAAAGCGGGATCAGTTCGAAAGGAGGCAATATAATTTCTTGGCCGGATAACACCGCTCGCTATTGTTCTTCGTCGTATTCTTCGATACGTCGCGCGCTCCCGGCTTTATCGGCGCCCTGGAGGGGGGAGAGGGACAAAAAACAAAGTGTCGCAATCTGTTCCGGGACCGCAGAGCTTATCGCCGGGAGCTTCTCCGGATGATAATTCACTACAGCTGCGAGTTGTCAATGTTGGCCGGGGCCAGCTGATTCTCCCGTAATTTATAGCGTCTGGTAAACCACCCCATTATTCCTGGCTCCTCCGTATCATTGTCTCGTGCGGCTTCTCGCTCTTCGACCCCTCCCGCACCCTCACCTTCATCCGCGCCCGGTTTCTGCGTGACGTTATCTGTTTCCACGTCGCAACCCTAAGAGGAACGGTTCTATGGCTCGCTTCGGGACAATAAACTATTACGCGACGGTTCCTCCGAAGATGCTCCAGCTCGAAAGACGCATCCAAGATGCTCGAACACCCCCCGCGAATATCCATGTCTCTCTCTTGTCCTTTCTTTCTCTCTCTCTCTCTCTCTCTCTCTCTTTCTCGACTGGTGAACGTCGCAAAAATCACGCGATATGATCCGTTTCGTGCGACGAAAGGTTCCGTCGTAAAGCTTCAAAACGCTGTAGCGTTCATAATAACGTTATCAATGTCACGTACAAAAAGAAAAACGTTTCGAAAGTTTCGCGACACGTTAAACAGACCGTGATCGAAGCTGACACGCGGCCGCCATCATGCTACCGTGTCTCACTAAGTTATGTGTAAAGTGTTATTAAACGCATCCAAAAATTTGCTTCGCGATGTCCGATGAAAGATATACACGTATCAGATTACTTGGCTGTATTTTTAATATTTCGATCATCGATTGCGCGTTCGTACAATCAATGTCGCCGAGAGACCGAGAGGAAAAATACCGGGTCAGCCATAAAGCTCGACTTGAGTTTTCGGTCCAATTTCACTTCATCGCGTTCCGTGGAAACAGATTATTCATATTTACTCGGTATAAGGCAGCCGAGATTTGCCGTCGAGGGGTCGCGGCAAATCGAGACGAACTTCTCGATTGACCCGATATCGAGGGGAGCAGAATAAGGTTCCCCCTCGTGAGGAGAATAAAAGTGCGTAGATTTGCCAGCCCGTGGCTTTCGTGTAATTTACAACGGCTCGTCGACGTAAAAGAGCGAAAAGCGGCGGAATCCGCCGGTCAGGTGCAAATCCGATAGCATGGCAAAACCGAGCCGCAGGTGCGCGCCCTTACCGTCAGGAACCGCGTGGCTGGTCATCAGGAAGTTCACGCAGGCGGCGCCAGTGCCATGTCCCACCAGTGTGACGTTGCCAGGATCGCCCCCGAAATAGGCGATGTTCTCCTGCACCCAGTGTAACGCCGCGATCTGGTCCATCAGGCCGTAATTCGCCGGTGAGCGTAAGTGCGAGTCTGTGTTGGCGTTTAGAAAGCCTGCAATCAAAACAAGCCGCCGCTTATGGTCGGTCGGTTGGTCGGTCGATCGGTCGGTCGGCGAGGGGTTTCTACGCGCTTCTCGGTGTCCATTATCGTCGGTTACGGCTGGTATAACATCGCCCCGATCGCGCCCGGAATTACTACCGATGGGGTTAATTCCGTTGGCCACATGTCGCGAACTATCGAGCACGACAGGCGAGATAAATAGCAGGATGGGGCAGTAGGGAAGTGCTTCTCTCGGTTGAAGACGGCAGAAGACATTTCGCTTCGCGAAATCGGCTTCGCGGATGTAAGTAACTCGGTAACGGAGTGGGAAAAGGGGGCAGGGTGGATGCGTGGTTGGCGCAGTTAGGGTCGTAGTTGGCCCTCGCGCTGGTCCGGCTTTCCATTTCGGCTTTTTTGTTTGTACCACGCGTATCCGGTTATCGAACGCTTTCCGCAAACGGTGGCGTTCGGGAACACGTTCGGGCGATTTTGCGTTGCCGGATCCTCGTATTGTCCGATCAGGCGGGAACATCGCGTCGAACGCAGTCCTTCTGGATGAAGGGGTTAAATGGTTGGGGGATGTGGAGAGATTGGCTCGTCTGGTGGAGCAGCAGCAGCAGCAGCAGCAGCAGCAGCAGTAGCAGCAGCAGCTGGTGTGATTTAGTGTTCAGACGCGTATCACGTCCTACTTTACGTATCGTTTCGCCGGGCGAGATATTGCTATCAATTGGCGGAGTCGAGGCGATATTTATGACAGCCGGATGGCGTCCCATTGGCAACAGTCTTATATACCGGGTCTGCCGGGCGTAACATTGTCGCGATGCGCGGGAACTGTTCGATTTCGTTCCCGTCGAAATACATTCGTCAGCGAACTGACTTACCCTCTCTCTCTCTCTCTCTCTCTCTGTTTAGAAATGAGCGAATAACCCTTTGACCCGAGAGCTTTCAATCAACGGGACTCGAAATTGTTTAAGAAATTCATGACGGAATGACCATTTTAACCCCTTCTCCCCAAAGTGGGATCGATCGACAACTTTTCCGTTGTCGGAGCCTTTACGGCTCGAGTTCCTAGCGTGACTCCTTCTGAAAGTTAAATCACTTTCGGAATCTTTGCGGTTTGAGCCCGTAACTCTTCTCTTTATATGGTTCATCAATCTTGCGCCATATTTCTATCAATTATCATTCGAGTCCCTTGCCTGACTCCTACCGACAGTCAAAGGACTTTCGGTGCCTGTCTATATCGAGCCCCAAGCGTGGCTCTTTCCCACCACGGGAATGCGCCCCACTTATCCAAAAGTGTGGGCCCGAGCTATCGCGCGGTTCTCTCATCTAATCAGAAGCGATTCCGACGTCTGGAACCTTCCTGACGAAAACAACGATGACTTGAGTATGGGGGAGAGTAGTGTTGGTTGAAACTTCGAACCGGAAAGGTCTCCTCAATTTTGTGGGTTTACTCAAAGAATATATTCATTAAACGACACTGTATTTGATATATTCAGATCATCGTTTATTTTCGGTAGTTCCACCCTTTAGAATCTTATAAGTCACGTTGCAAACAGTAACGCAATACTCTCTCTCTCTCTCTCTTTCACTCGCTCTCGCTCCCCCCTCTCTCTCTCTCTTTTTCTCTCGTTCTCTCCCTTCCGTTTCTGCCGAATAAATTCGGACTCGTAAATCTGCCAGGCTGCCTACATTTGTTTATATTTATTCCCGTATTTGTTCCGTCGGGACAGCACAACCCCAAATTTGATTTAACATCGGGGGCGCCGATTCTACGATACTGGGATAGTTCTATTATATAGTTTGTACGAGCCCCTTTTGCGTAAAAATTGTTTCTTGCCGACGGCCATTTTGTCGCTCCGACGATGTTGCCGAATTGTCGAGGCCTTGTGAAATTTTCATGGAGATACCGAGTTAGTTGACGCGATAACGCGAGTGACCTTTGGCCACACCGTCGCAAGCACTTCGTCGTTTTCGCGGCAATCGGAAGAGAACGGGAAATCTCCCGCGAACGACAATCATTCTCCAAGTAATTTTCTAATTGGCTGCCTCCAAACCGAGAAATTATCGGCAATGTCAGCTGGCCGTGTAGTCAATTATTTCCAGTTTCTCTTAACATAGAGAGAATGAAATTAGCGCTAATTGAGTCAGAAGTGGAAACCCGCCGAAGGGTCTCCAGCACCTCCCCCCCTCCGGCACCTTTCTCTCCCTTCCTTATGGCCGAATGAAATCGCGAGCTACGATTGTTGCTGCCGGCAAGTTTGGCCGCGATATTTCACCTCTCGTAATGCTGAGACCGGCGAGGCGAGGCAAGGCGAGGCGAGGCGAGGCGAGGCGAGGCGAAGCGCGTCGCGTCGCGTCGCGTGTTTGCCTCGCTCGAAACGCCGCGCCATTAAATTATCCGTCATATTTACCCGCCGACATACTGGAAGAGACTGTTCTTCGCGGGGTTAAGAGGATTATTTCCATTATGAGTCGCCGTATATATATACTTGCGCCGGTGCACATTAACTTTAGGGCACTTGGTGCCTTAACAAGAGAGGCGTTACCGTCGCCAGGATCTGGGTCAACGATGTTGCGCCGACTGTTTCCCGCCGGCCCTGCCAAATCGATAATTTGGAAAGCCCCATGCTACGTGGAAAAACGCTCAACTACCCCTTCGTCCGAGTCCTTATACCGGGATCCTCGCGAGATCCTCGCGCGATCGGCTCACTGTACCGCCGTGAGCGCGCCGTTGCTGTATTAATTACCAGCGCTGTCAAAGTAATCCGGGTATTTCTGTAGACGTGTATCTTGCTAATACCCGGCTGCACAAACCCACTACCTAGGTGCTCGCGATTACAACATTTTTTTTCAAATGAATTCAGCTTCCTCAAAGTAGATAGGAATAAGCAATTGTATATCCGGAGAATCTGAAGGCTCAGATGTGCGGATCATTTTAAAAGCACCCCGGTATCCGAATATTTTGGGTAATATTAGGAATATACCCAGGCTATTTGAGAAATGGGACGCATGTTTTAAACAGAGATTTGTTTAAACAGATGTTGGGACATAGCAGCTTGCCAGAGTGATATCTAAAACACCCTGATTATCCTGAGCACTATTGATTACTTGGGATTTTTGTGTCTATGAAGCAACGGATGCGTTATGTAACGTGATTGTGTAATCATATCGTCTCGCTATTAGAAGTCACTTTGTCGACGTAAAATCGATTCTCCCGCGACAATTCTCACCGACTGCCTTAGTAATCGGGTCGAATGAGTTGTACAGTTGAGTTACACGTTCGTATCCTTTCGCCGAAATTTTTTAGGGCTCGAAATTAGACTGCTAGACGTTCAGCATGATTATCAAGTCCGAGATAACGAGAGACCAATGTCCTCTGCTCATTCCCCATTGAGCGATTTCGCAGCTCGAACTCCCGTGGAATTGAGTTTCCAGCTGCTGCTATATTTACATCCTCTGACTTTAGCGAAACGCTACGTTTCCATTACTAACGCAATCCAATCCTGATTGAACTGTTGGATAGCGCGATGTTTGTATCCTCTCTGAATCTTCCCTCCGACTTTAGCGGGTCTAGCTGAATTCCTGCCGAGTCAGTTGCCGGCTCCGGAGGACTTTTGTATAATGGCGCATTTGCATCGCCGATAATACAATCTTCTTCATCTTACAGACAGAGTGAGAGGAAAGGCGTCTTGTCTCGTCTCGCCTCGTCTTCCGGCCGTGTCTAGTCCGATCCAGTAACGATTCTCGGCATTGCCGCGTCAACGGGAGAAAAATGTACAAAGCTCACAGCGCTTGCAGGCGTGTGAGCCTGCCTGTACGCACTGTCGAGAGAGGGAGAGAAGCGTAAGCGTGAAAGAGCGGAATAGAAATGAAGCACCGGTCATGTCCCATTTGATATTCAACCTCCGGCGTATCTGTCGCGCCGTGCTTCCGCGTCTCCTATTCTTCTCGTTACAATGAAACTGCTGAACGCTATTCGTTGATTTAAATTTTCCGGTACACGCTGGTATACACGCGGTAGGGCGGCGGCGGAACGAGGAATGGCTGTTGGGCGAAGGGCGGATGGGCGGGGGAGGATAGGGGTTAGTGGGTATCGCCGGTCGGCTGTACGCACAAAGCGCGCGGCATCACTTTTTCGAAACGAAGAAAAATGTAAAAAAAGGGAGAATAAAACAGGGGCGAGAAGGAGGGAATAAAAATTGTGCGGTCACCGGAGTGTGATATTTCCTGGGCGTCCGTTATTTCATCTCACTGTTCGCTCTGAGCTTCCCCCATCCCTCCTCTGAGTTTTCCCTCTTATTTTTTCCCGGCGCCTCTTTCGGTGTTCCATTTCGCTGTCGACGGAATCGAATTCTCAAATTTGGATTTACGCTCACGTGCGCCTCTCTGTCGTCGCCTCTCGATGTCGTCGAAAACTGACCGCCATCATCTCCCTAAGCACGGTCATCCCTCCCTCCCTCTCTCTCTCTCTCTCTCTCTCTCTCTCTCTCTCTCTCTTCCTCTCTACTCCGCTGTCTCTCGCTGCCTCTCGTGCGCGCAAATTGTTTTCGCTACCGTCGGAAATCTAATCTGATTTAATCCAACAATTACCGCGAGCTCGACCCAGCATAATCATAGTTACTTAATAATCATGTTAGCCAACTTTAGCCGACCTCCAATAATAATTGGATCTAAGCTAGTTTATTAATATAACCTGGCCCTGACGGAAGGGTCTTTTGAGCCTCGGACCCCTCGATCTGGATTATCAGTCCGTTCGTCGCTTCCAGCGATGTTCTTTCCGAGATGGGGACGGTGATATCGGGACACCCAGTATGTGCGCCGCAAGGGCGCTAGACGAGAACAGCGGGGTTGCTGTCGCGTCGAGCGGCGGCTAGGGCAGGCGGCCAGGGGCAGGGGCGGGAGGTGGGAGTCAAGAATTTAGTTTGGTGAAACGGAAGACCTGGCCGTAATGAGTTTCCTATTAGATTTGGTTGCCTGGGTTGCCAGGCAACAAGCCGGCTCGCCGGAACTCGCAATCCCCGTGGCGTTTGCGGTCAACTTTTTGCCGGGCGCTTCTTCGCGCTCTCCGACTTCTTCCGCGGCTTCTTATCCGCCGAACGTTCGTTCGTTCGTTCGTTCGCTCGCTCGCTCGCTCGCTCGCTCGCACGTTCGCCGCGACGTCGGTTAAACGTCATGAAGTAACGAGTTTCGTCTAATGACCACGTCGACTCGGCGAGCGTGCGCGCGCGCGCGCGGCCGGCGTTTGCAGCGCGGTCGAACGCGCGTTTTACGATAGAAATCGATCGAAGGGTTCGGAAGATACGGTCTCATCGCGTTAATCTAATGCCGATTAAACCGACTGCGGTCGATCGTCCACTCTCTCCTCCTCCCCTGGCCTCCTCGCTCCTCTCGCCTTCGTCGGATCATATAGTCTCCGATGTGGACGTGTCGTCTTTACACACGGCGGGAAAATTGAGTAAGCACACTTAGCGCTAAGTGACGTCGGTGTAATCGGCCCTAAATAGCTAATGAGCCACGGTCGACTGGCTCGTTTCAAGCCTTAACCGCTGCGAGGTGGCGTTTCACACCATTAAGCGGCCAACTAACATATGTGATTTATCTGAGTTCCGAGCTGTTCGCGAAAGTTATATCTGCCTCGGCGATCGGGGTTAATTATCAAAGTATTTAACGCGGAAGAGACGGAAGGAAGGCGCGTAAGAATTAAGAAACGGGAGATCTCGGTAGGGGGAGCGGGCCGCTGAGAAATTCGAAAGCCGAAGACCCAGTGGCCTCGGTAGATATCCGGTCGTAACGGAATTTCGCCGGGAGAATTTAGGATTATCGGCGTTTGCTTCGCGTAGGGAGCGCGGGGCGATGTCGGGAGATAAAGAAAAGCAATGCTTTAGCGAGCAGCTGCGCGACGTGAAGGATCTCAAATTTTAATGAGGAACTTGAAAATTCAAGAAAATAGGAGATCGGTCGACGAATCTGAGGTAACAACGTTTCGGCCGCACAAAGGATGTAGAATCACTTCAAGGTTGAAGGGCAGGCGAGAGGGAGGGAGGGAGGGAGGGAGGCCCGAGACTTTAGGATACAGCAGACGGTGCTTGAAAAGTTGGAGGATCGAAGAGCTTCCGCTCGATTTCCCGGATCTAATCATATCGTGGAACTCGAAGAAAGCCAATTCGGAAATCTAAACCCTCCGAAATCCGAGGAGCCATGATACCACTGCGCGCGCGCGCGCAACGTGTAGAAATCCGACAGAGAGAGAGAGAGAGAGAGAGAGAGACAAGAGATTTGGAGCTCCCCCCCGGAGGAGCTGAGCGAAGGGCTGAACGAAGGGAGAACCGGAGAGAGTCGCCTTGAGAGAGAGCTTAGAATTCAAATTATTATTGATGTTATTTTCCGGATGTTACTCGAGTATCCGCGTCATTCGGATGTAATCCGGATATTTCTCAGATCACCCGAATGCCCAGGCAATCCCACACCAAAATGGCACCCCTGGAATACTCGGAGATACTCGAGCAGTACTGAAGACAGCTCGGTGCTCGATTAAAAGTTAATTAAGCGTCATAATTTAATTTTAATAATTTCCACAATAAACTTTGATAATTCTCCGTATTCGACTGCATGAATAGTACTTGAAACACTGACCAATGTTACTCTGGATATTTGACCGCTTAGAATTGGCACCCCGTATTCCTTTCGTATCTTATACTCGGCCACACGAGCGCGGTATTCGTAGACGCGGGTGGACGGGCGCGGGGGTGAAAGGCGAAGGGCAGTCCCGAATATATCGGACCGCGAGACTTACCGAGGATGCCGAGCCTGTAGTTGATGGTGACGACGACGACGCCACCATAGCTCGCCAGCACGCTGCCGTCGTAAGGATTTCCGCTGCTCCATTCGTAGCTCTCTCCGTGCACGAACACGATCACAGGGTACCTCTTGCTGCCGCCATCCCTCGCGCCGGCTGCAATCAATAAAATTATCCTGTGATCGATCGGTGCTCTCGACACCTGATACTTCACGCGTCGCGCACCCTTGAAGGGTCATTTTTCAGCCACCGAAGGGCCCTACAAAGTTTTGACGGTCCGTTAAAGGATTGCCAGATCTTGAGAACGTGCAGGCTCCGTTCAAGCGGAAACCAAAGATTTCCGGCTCACGGTCGCGCTTCGTGAGCTATTGTGTCTCGAAGAATTCGAAATTCGCGCATCAAGGCGCGCGCGCGTCGTGGCGCGCGCCATCTGAGATTTATGAAACTCGAAAATCGCCGTGGCGGCTCCTCTTGGGCTTTAAATCGAAATTTAAAGCGGCTGCCGTTAGATTTGCCGTAACTGATTTAAGGAAGGCGCCGCGCCAGCCCGACGGTTTTCGAGTTTTATAAAAGAATTTCGTTCGCACTATATATCGCTGGTTGCAGCGCTCGGAGCGCGAGAGGATAATAACGGCCATCCCAGGCGATAAAGAGAGAGAACATGTCTGAAAAATTCAAGAGTCTGGCTCTCGTCCTCGAGGCAAATATCAAAGTCACGCTGCGCTAGCGCGGCAAGGAGAACTCGAAATCCGCTCGTTCGGTATCGATGCGCGCGCGAGACCTCTGCGTGCAGAATTGTCGGGCGAAGTGTCGCTTATCACTTGTGATATAATTAAAACAAGCGGCGGCGGCGGCGGCGGCGGCGGCGGCGATGGCGAGCACGAAAGGGGTGCGTCAATCTGATTTGCCATGGTAATGCCGGAAGGGTGAACACGCGAGGGTGATCGCTGCGGCCGGCGCTGGCATTGGTCATAATTCAACAAATCACCCGTCGCCATCCTCGATAGCGATAGCGAGCCACATCGCGCGCCGTCCCGTTGCCTTCTGCACCCTTCAACCCCTTTCTCTGGCTTCGCGCAAAATGCAGCGACTGGCCGGTCACGACCGGTTTCGCAGTTGATTTCCGTGGAAAACTTTCTTCCTCCACGGTTGCTTTTTTCTTCCCTTTTCCCGGACTTGTCTTACTTGTTTAAAAAAGCGTTGACGCTTTCAGTCTTCTCTTGCTGCGGTTTTATGGGCAGCTGACTCGTCTCGCGACTTATAATTAGCATCGCGAGTTTATATTTTTATGAAAGTTTTATGTTTCTCCGAGTCAAGATATTAAGAGTTACAGGGAAATCGTTTCGAGAAGATATCGAGGACATGAAATTTCGACGAGAAATGTCCAAGTTCAGTTGGCCGATATCGCTCGAGGCACGCGGGGATTCTCTGATCACTTGCACTTTTGGCGATTAATTTGCCAATTGTGCTCAAGTGTCGACGTCATGTCACGAAAAATGAACGTTGTCAGTGCGATTAGGAACGTAAACGGCCGCTTGATTGGCTGGCCGCGTTAATTAAGAGGCCATGTGGGACGATGATGATTCGGCGGCCGAATCAATTAATGAACCGCAACTACGCCGGCTAATTATTATTTTCATTATCGTCCTTGTAGTTTCCTCACGCGCTTCCTAATTGGCGACGCCGCCGATTGCCCGAAATACACGTCCCATGGCACATGTTGTTCGTTAAGCCCGGTTTTATACAACCGGAAATTCGCGAAGGAATTCCGTCAATAATTCGGATATATCTCGATCGATAATACCTGCAGCCTCATGGTTATTGCCTGCTTTGTAATTATAGATTTATATATTTATATGTGACATATAATTATATATATATATATATATATACATATAATGTATATTTATAAACACAAGTGTACTATATTAACCCTTAAAGTTTACCACCAGTTTGGTTGAAATTACACCCATGCGAATTTCGTTTCGTTCTATTAAATGTTAAATTAACTCTGCTGCAAATAATAATTTCTCTACTTTCCATTTAATATATTTCATATAATAATATTTCATATAATAATATTCCTGTAATATTTCATGTAATAATGAAACATTTAATTGCGTTTGATTTTTTATTTCTAAAACAAAAAAATATATCGGGATGAAATTTCACCTATGACAGTGACGTTGACGTGATTTTCCTCGATAATAGCTTTTAAGGGTTTAACGTGGCTTTTATTAGAATAAAAATATTTCGTTTGCCAAAGAGATCCAATTTATATACAAGGCTATGAAAAATTATGACTCGTGTACACGTACGCATGTACGCACGCTCCCAGATTGTGAAGAATGCCTTCAGAAGTTGGAAAATCGATAATTCGAGACTGTAAGATTTCGGGTACGCGAACACGAGAGTTCCACACAATACATGAGAATATAGAAATCGGAACCTGCGGTAAGGAGATCAACGAAAGGACAGAGCGGAATTTATTTGCGCGCAAACTTCGATTTTGCCAAATCCGTGGATATTCGAAATTCCAGATATTGAGGGATTTCGCAATCGTAGCTTCGCATTTTGCGAAAAGAAAGAGCCGAAATCTCATTTCGCTCTTACAGCGGGAAATCAGAATTCTCCGCGACTTATCCTACTCCATCGCGGCTACGATACATTATTTTCCTGAATAAATTTACAAGCGCCCTGTCAATATTTGACGCGATCCGCAAACAATTTGCCGGAGCGCCTCTAACGGACTTTACATATTCATAAAGCGGTGCTCCGTAGTTTGATATCGCGGATGGTAAACGAGAAGTATCTGCGTTCCCGTTAGATCGCTTTATTTTACAAACTCGATATTGCATCCGCCTTCTTAGCAACGCTTCCTTTAATCCTTTCAGCCCTCCCCCGGGCTGGCAAATGCCGCCAGCGGTTGAACCAGATTGTGCATTTATCATGCATGAATCAAAACTTTATCCTTCGAAACACTTGAGATCGTCTGAACTTAATCCCGGCTTCCATCGCCGCGATATTGTCAGTATTGAAAATTGTGTAGAAGGAAGAATCTCCCGAAAGAGAATTTTTATTCAGTTCAAATGTGCGTTCTCATCTATCAAGAATATCTCGAAAGAGTGCCGGTTAAGTTAGACAAACGCTCGATTTCTGCAAACAAGCGATGATAATATTAAAATAAACGTCGCATCACTTTCTTTCTCGAGATATTTTGCGGCACTTTCTCGACCGTCGGAATTGGACGTGTGTTTTTCGTTGTATTGCGTCATGATAATGTATCATCCTGAATCCTAGAATTACAGAGGAGAGAGAGAGAGAGAGAGAGAGAGAGAGAAAAGGAGGAAGAGGAAAAGAAGTAAGGAGAGAACAAACGAAATGTAAATAGAAACGTAAAACTAGAAAGTCCGGTAAAGTTAATGCCGGGATTACCTGTACGATGACGCGCCGCAAGGTCGAATGCAACTGCAGCGTGGCACTTTATCGCCTCGTCCTGCGAGCTACGGTGACACAGCAGGCAGGATTACGGTATACAGATAAGGATGACGACGGTGCGGTTATCAAGCTTGCATTCATTGCCTGTATTCAACAGCGAAATCGCCACGGTAAAAGCTTGCGTGCCGTCCAGTTATGCAGTCTGTCGTTATACAACGCGTATACAGGATGTGTTCGTCTTACTAGGGATATCCTGACGAGATGAGACTGTGTTTTATGTGGACCACTCGGGACGATTAATGTTTGTCGCGACCATTAATCTTATCAGCTGCTTCCCGCGCTTCCTGGTCTTTTTGAATAATAATTATCAGTTTCGAAGGGAATGTCGAGATTTTATAGAATCGATAGAAAAAATTCAATAATTAAAGAATTCGAAACCGCCTGCTATTAATAAACAAGAGAAAAAACGAGAATCATGCCATTTAAATATCGGGAGTCGCCGAGGAGGCTGGCATGTTAAAATCGATAGAATTTAACAAGCACGCGAGCCTTAAAAAGCAGCAAGTGATGAGACCGAGGTCGTGAATGTGTAACAAATAGATGATGAAATAAAAAAAGCAGATACCAAAAACACACGACGGGAGAGGCGAGAAACTGAAGAGGGAATCACAATGATCGGATGTTTGAATAATTTTGCTCACTGTGTCAAAAGTCAGACGATTGAAAAACTGCGGGGTACCAGGAGCCAAATATCTGGGAATTTCTCCCGCGCATCCCAGGAATTCGACGATTCACAAATCCGAGCATCATAAATGCCGCTCTTGTATCGCACTTGTTCCAGCTACTCTCGAGGTCCTTCACGGCAAATTCTCCTCGATATCGGCTTAACCATCTCCTTGATTCCCTAGATATATCCTATCATTTTCCGAATCGACGCGCTCCGATCGAACATTTGTGACACAGAGAAGGAAACCGGATAACAACACGGAACGCACATTTCGCGAAAATTATGGCTATAGCAGGTCCTCTCGTATATTCTCCCACGCGCGCGTGGAATTCCAAAATGACGCCGAAAATTGTCCACCGCGTCCGAATAACTTATTTTGTGCTCTTTATCCCATAGAAAATGACGTTGTGTATTAAAAAAAGCACGGTTCAAAGATATCTTGCATATAGAATATAGAATATAAATTTTAAATATGCCTCACGGACGAGGATAGCCTTCATTAGGATGATTATGAGAAGCCGGAGATTATCTCAGTCTTTTGTGAGACGCTACGCTTTTTTTACAATAAGACTGGAGAGTGAAAGAGAGAGAGAGAGAGAGAGAGAGAGAGAGAGAGAGAGAGAGAGAGAGAGAGAGAGAGAGAGAGAGAGAGAGAGAGAAAGAGTAGGGATGAACGAGTATTACAAAGGAGCTAACATTACCCACCTTTATTGAGATTTCGATTTTTTTAAATAAAGCGAGGTTTTATAAAAAAAGACTGCAGCTTTTTATAAACCGTAACTGTAATTTACAGAACCTATAGCATGAAAGCGATAATATCTCGGACACATCTTCGTTTCTTTTATATATTCTCTCCTCCTCACCAAACTTCTCCCCTCTGTCTTCCTCCTCTCACTCCCTTTCTTTCTCTTTGTATAATTTCAAATTTACTTCGTTCCTATCCTTTCTCTCATTCCCTAGTGTACATCGTCACCCTCCGCTGCTACCGGTA